AACCATGAACCACGTGACCTTTGAGAGTGTGTGTGTATGGGTTTGGGGTGGGGGGAGAGGGGGAGGTGTATGGTGGTGGGGGAGGGACCGGCTGACTCCTAAGCCTAACCACACTCCACAGACCTGTGACCCAGATTTGTTTCTTAAATGTACAGTACATCATCGTATATTTTAGGCAGGATGTGCCTGCAGGCTGGCAGGATGTGCCTGCAGGCTGGCAGGCAAGCTGGCAGGATGTGCCTGCAGGCTGGCAGGATGTACCTGCAGGCTGGCAGGCAGGCTGGCAGGATGTGCCTGCAGGCTGGCAGGCAGGCTGGCAGGATGTGCCTGCAGGCTGGCAGGCAGGCTGGCAGGATGTGCCTGCAGGCTGGCAGGATGTGCCTGCAGGCTGGCAGGATGTGCCTGCAGACTGGCAGGCAGGCTGGCAGGATGTTCCTGCAGGCTGGCAGGATGTGCTGGCAGGATGTGCAAGCAGGCTGGCAGGCAGGCTGGCAGGATGTTCCTGCAGGCTGGCAGGCAGGCTGGCAGGATGTGCCTGCAGGCTGGCAGGATGTGCCTGCAGGCTGGCAGGATGTGCCTGCAGGCTGGCAGGATGTGCCTGCAGGCTGGCAGGATGTGCCTGCAGGCTGGCAGGATGTGCCTGCAGGCTGGCAGGATGTGCCTGCAGGCTGGCAGGATGTGCCTGCAGGCTGGCAGGATGTGCCTGCAGGCTGGCAGGATGTGCCTGCAGGCTGGCAGGATGTGCCTGCAGGCTGGCAGGATGTGCCTGCAGGCTGGCAGGATGTGCCTGCAGGCTGGCAGGATGTGCCTGCAGGCTGGCAGGATGTGCCTGCAGGCTGGCAGGATGTGCCTGCAGGCTGGCAGGATGTGCCTGCAGGCTGGCAGGATGTGCCTGCAGGCTGGCAGGATGTGCCTGCAGGCTGGCAGGATGTGCCTGCTGGCTGGCAGGATGTGCCTGCTGGCTGGCAGGATGTTCCTGCAGGCTGGCAGGATGTTCCTGCAGGCTGGCAGGATGTTCCTGCAGGCTGGCAGGATGTTCCTGCAGGCTGGCAGGATGTTCCTGCAGGCTGGCAGGAAACATCTAGAGGATGTTTGCCAGTCGTCTTAATAATCAGTTAGGAACAATTAAGGACTTTTATAAAGCGGATCAGGACTTCACTTATTGGTGAGTACAAACAAAACACGGTCGCATTTACGCTATGAACCTGTCGATTTTTTTCCCTAGAGTTTTTTCGTAAATTTTTCAGAACAATTTCTTTTTACATTTCTAGTTTATTTTTTCCCCTCTATTTCTCGTACACGAACTTACATGTTAACCGACGGGTCTCGTCCCCAAGGGGTTCGGAAACCAAGTGGTGCTCTGTATATATATATTTATATATATATATATATATATATATATATATATATATATATATATATATATATATATATATATATATATATATTTATATATATGACAATGTCAGACCACGGAGGAAAATGAAACAGGAATTTCCTTAAGTACTTTCGTATATTAAATACATCTTCAGAAGGAATGTTTTCCTTCTGAAGTCGTACCTAGTAGCCAGAATGCACTTCTCAGCCTACTATGCAAGGCCCGATTTGCCTAATAAGCCAAGTTTTCCTGAATTAATATATTTCCTCTAATTTTTTTCTTATGAAATGATAAAGCTACCTTTGACGGTTGGGTCTGTAATCCCGACGCCTTTATTGTCAAAGGCAAAGGAATGTGGAATAGGAGAACATACACCCCACACAATCTATAAATTATGATTTATAAATTAATTATCAATTAAATAAATTGTCAGAATTAATTCTAATTCTAATAATTATAATTCTGATAAAGAAAGATCTAGGGGTGGTTCTAAATAGAAATTTATCACTTGAGGACCGCATAAAGAACATTGTGCAAGGAGCCTATGCTACACTTTCTAACTTTAGAATTGCTTTTTAATACATAGATGGCGAAATACTAAATAAGTTGTTCACGACTTTTGTTGTACCAAAGCTGGAATATGTAGAGGTTGTAACACTTTAGCGCACCAGGCGTGCGAGCCCCGCACTACCCCAGGTAGGTTTTGGCGTTTCACGGGAGCGCGCAGTAATTCTATAAAAAAAAAAAAAAAAATGTATTTTCAGGTAATAAAGTGTCTGCTGATTGTACCAAATGCAGAGTCTGCTTTAAATGAGGAGGCAGGAAAGCTGCTGTTGGAAGCCTATGATGATTATGCTGCTAGAGCCAAGATGATAACTGAAATCCATGCACAGGTAAGGTTAATGTTTACTTCATACTCCATTTGACTACTGTAGAAGTTCGCTAATCCGGACTGTGTGAAGGACCCCTTGCCAGATGAGCACATTTTCCAGATTAACCGACTTTTTCACTGCGGAAGTCCAAAAGTGAACATTTCCCCCAAAAATATTAATCATAATTTGAATTGCCACATATAATTATAAAATATTCAACCAGAAACCTCATCTTACCTTGTTGTAGTTCATCTTCTTGATTGATGTTACACAACTTGAAGTTAAGAATTCTTGACAATTCGTAACCTATTTTAACACAACGCTAAAATTAACGCTTAAAATTCCTGTACAGTTCATGAGGCAAGGTCTGTTTTGACTGCCAGCTGCTGAATGCATCACTGGATGAAGGTCCTTGCCTTGCTGTTTTTACAACACAAGAATCAAGTTTAGCTTGCCTTCTGTGTTCATTGGCCTCTTTTATGATCAGCTCTTTGGTTTGCCTCAGGTACTGGATTAGCACAGTTGGATGAAAAATTAACATGTCAACTGAAGACATGAGTAAACTGTGTTTTGTTGTCTGTCGTGTTGGTTCCTCACTGCTTTCTTCATCCTCCGCCTCTTCGTCGACCTCACCAGTAATAGACTGGAGAATCTCTTCTTCACTTATCACACCATATCCTGGGTCATTAGCATTTCTTTCAAGCAACACACACAGAAATCACAATTGCGTGATGCATCAAATGAACAAATCCATAAGGACCGTGACGAGGATTCGAACCTGGATGCTCTCGGACGCAGGTTCGAATCCTCGTCACGGCCCTTGTGGATTTGTTCTTTCAAGCAAATCAACCACATCCTGTCTTTCTAAATTTTTGCCAGCATTTCTAAACATTCTATGGATTTCATCTGTAAATCCTTCAAAATTCACGCCTTCATCATCCTCATTGTTGTGACCTTACATATGAGTAGTTTTTTCCAGGAATTCTTCAGTCAAGTCTTTTACTTCACTCCATACCTTGTCCCAGTTATAGATGGCTTCCTTGATGGAATAGTTCTTCAAATTCTCAAGGGTTCTTTGAGCCCGGTTATCTATGCCGAGAGGAAAACCACCAAAACTTTTTCAAGTATCTTTTTGCTGTACAATCCCTTTGTTGCACAGATAACTCCCTGATCCATAGGGTGGATGAGAGATTGTATCAGGTGGAAGTGCCATACACGTTATCTTGCCATTGTGTGAGGTTATCGTGTCAATTCTGGGGTGGGGAGGCGCATTATCAAGCAACAGCAAAACCTGAACTTTGCTTGGCCTCATTTTGAATTTCTTAACTTGATGGTAACGAACTTCTTGCAGAACACATCATGATACCAACAAAGAAAGATCTCCTGTGTAAACCATGCATTCTTTGAGTTACAATATTTCACAGGCAGTCTGTCCAAGCAATGTTGCAAGGCTATTGGTTTCTTGGATTTGCCAACAATTGCACACATGACTGTCTGTGCTGTCAGCATTGGCACACATGGCCGACAGCCTGTCTTTGTTGACCTTACGCCCTGGCACGCAACCCTCACTCCTCATAGCTAGTTTTTATTTTTAGGGAAACTCCTCCAATTTCCCCCAGTTTCATCAGCATTATAAATTTGATAATATAAATTATTTGACAAAATGCATGTTCTTAATTTATATTTAAATGATTCTACACTGCTTGTATCTGCACTCAATTTTTCACCAATGTTCTTCACAATATTGTGCAGCACTTTGAACCTTCCAATCCACCAATCCACCATTAGGCTCGCTAATCCTTTATTTCAAGGCTTGCTGCAAACCTGTTTGCAGCATTTCTTATTTCTGGACCGCGAATTGTCACACCAGCTTGTGCGGTGCTGAGCAAACCACTTGTACACAGCCTCGTCCAACTGTACATGCTTTGAAGGTTTCAAAGTTCTTCAGCTTCACCCTCTGCTAGTGCTTGCATCCTCTCATTGGTTGAAATGTATTTCAGGTATTGCTCTTTTTGTTTCCTAACACTTTCCCGGCCCGGGGAGTTAACTGTGTACTATCAGGGGAGTGTGCCGTTCGTTTCGGGCGACCGCGTGGCGACACTAAAATGTTTATAATCTTTTCGGTCTGCTCACCTTAATATAAAATGTTTATAATCTTTTCGGTCTGCTCACCTTAATATTCCATGTATGTATTTAAATTTGGTATCAATTTGTTCGCAAGAGAATGCTCTAGAGGAATATATATGTAAAATTTCACCAAACCCGACATGAGACCCGCACCAAATAAAAAACTATGGCAATCGTTAGCCGTGAGCGTCAAACCGCGCTGAAATGTTTATTATCTTTTCATGTTTGTCAATCCCAGAATTGTGCTGTCATTAATTTTGGTTTCACTGTGACCGCAATAAAATTCCCTTCACGGACATATGCATATAAATGTAGAATCATGATCGCGGCCCACCTGCAAGAGCGTGGGAAGTGGCTGAAGTGTTACCTCTTACGGCACGCCCGACGGCAGATCGGCGAAACACCTTTTGAAAAGTGTATATTCTTTTCACTGTCCTGACCTTAATTTTCGATATACGTACTTAATTTTTGTACCAATATGTTCGCAATAGAATGCTCTAGAAGAACATGTGTAAAATGTCACACAAGGATGTGTTTGACTGGCACCAAATAAAGAAACTTCGTCGGTTACACTTGTCGTGTCAACATTTTACAATAGTTTTACCACGAAGATACAAGCGAACTCCGTTCTCCCAAATAGGGTTTGTGACTATTAGAGAAAACGAAAATTTAATGGCAAACATGCTTAAATTATCCCCAAGTCGATCGGATAAGAATTGGATTTTATAGAAATATTTTTTTCAAATGCTGCTTGAGGTGCATTCAAGAGAAAAATATGTCCTGCTCAAGTGACATATGGGTGCTAATTGTGCACAATCTAAAGGCGCTCATTTTAAAACCACTACCAGATTGATCTGATAAAATTTAAATTTTTAACAAATATTTTAATGAGTGACTCAGCGCCGCGTCGTCGGAGAGGAATCGGGAGAAAAATGAGCGACTAGAGAGCCAGTCATTAGCGCGTGAAAGTGTTAACATCAGAAACGGTACTAGTGCATATATTAAAGTCCTTGGCAACACTTGAAGGCTACCGGCCACTTTCACACAGTTGTATAACACGTAACATGTCTTTAATTGTTAGGGTAACCTTCCTCTTAACACCTCCAGAATAATTGATGCTGCTACCAGACAGTCTTGGCCAAAAATGATAAAAGTTACTATGAAAGCAAAAAGTTATTACAAAAAATATTTCACTAATGGCGCGGCACTGGGGTATAACGCTAGGGACGGGAGCACGTGGGCTGTTTGGCTTGACCAGGCCTGGACAGGTCCACTTGGGGCAGACAGGCACGTTGTGTAGGCTGTCGGGCAGAAAAAACTCAATATTTTAGAAGCAAACTTCAACCTGTGCAAATTGTTTTTATGAAACTTGAATTTGTTATAATACAGTATTACATATTTATTTTGTTTTTCACTGATGAATTGTTCTAAAATTATTAGTAATTACTGTACTGTATAGGCCCCTTCTGCATGCCCCCTTATCCCCCAGGCAGTCCCTTCCAACACTTTCTTCTCTCCCTGGTAACAAGCAGCATACTCTTTAAGTGTAGTGTCATCCCCCCCCCCCATTGCCTTCCTCCTACCACCATAACCAGCGATGGGGAAATGGCTCTAGCAAGTTTGCGTATTGGCCATACACGCTTAACTCTCGGTCACTTAATGGAGCGCCACCCTGTTTCTTATTGTCCAATTGCATTGTCCCTCTTACAGTCGTGCATATCCTTGTTGAATGTCCTGACTTCCAGGACGAGCGTGTGTCTTGCTTTCCGACCATCCCTCACGGTCACTTGTTCCTCAGTAGAATTCTTGGTGAATCTGATACTTTTGATATCTTTCGCATTCTGTGTTTGTGTTATTTGTTGCTTTTTTAAATGTTTCTAGAATCCTTCCTCAAATGGTTTTGAATATATGGAAGATAAAGCCCATTGGAGAATTTGGTTTAAATATGTTTTTCTCTTGTAGGGTCCTAAAGTGTGTAAAGGTGAATCCAGTGGAGAAGGAACAAGTCAAGATGGGCCCCAGGCAAAGAAACACGCTTCAGACAAGAAGATCACAGCTGATCGTAAAAAAGTGTTAAAAGACAAAAAACGAACATTAAAGAGATTATGAATTTAACAAATTATACAGTGTCATTGTCACCTTGAAGTGCAAACCTTTCTTGGTATCTTACTGATATCTTCCCCTTCTCGTGTGTCTAACTTGGATTCTCAAGTTTTGTAAGGCAGGAGACTTCGCAAATGAGTTAGCCACCACTTGCTGTGTTAATACTTGACACCTTATACCCATATTTTTTTACACATATTTTGGCTATTTTCATGTGTTGTCAAATTATTTTACGTAGTATCTGAATGAAATTCTACTTTTATAAACAAACCAAACTTCTCTTTTATGGTAAAGTTTTAATGATTCAGCAGTAAGATTGCTTTTACTCCTGTGGAACAATCAATGAGTTTAAGTGGGGGTTTTGTGTGTGACAAAGAACCCCAGATAAATCCCCTTGAAAGTATATGATGTAAAGCATCATATTATATATTTGTATAAATATATCTGATATTCAGATTTATGGCATGAATAAATTGCTGACAATATTAAATAGTCTTTCCGTAGGTTAAGTAATGCTAAGAATCTTTGTATTTAAATCGCCTTTTTTTATGCACAAGGTTAATTTTTAAATAATCTTGCGCTCGTGTGTTAATGCATTTTTTTATTTATGCCTGTCGAGGGACTGTAAATTCATAGTGTATAAATCATTGATATGAGGGGCTTTAGGGTGAACGTATGCTGCTAAAAAGAATAAATGCCAGTTTTATTTTTAAATTTCAAAGTTTTTCTTCACACTTTAGCTTATTGCAATTGTAAGAAGTAGGTATGGGCAAATCTGTCGGTTCCTAATTTATCTTGTATATTTGTTATCAATAACTTGTAAAATATACAGGTTCCGTTAAAGACTTTGAAATTTTAAGAAATGCTGGGGCTCTGTCTGGAAGGTATTTAAGTACATACTATTGATTTTAGTGTTGGAACAGGAAGGGAAATAAGCTTAAATAAAATGAAGGTACAGGATCATGGTAAAGGATAAGATCTGATAATTGTTTATAAAAAGGCAATAAATATTCTTTCAACTTTTATTTTTTTATTTAAGTTTGAGACAAGGCATCTGAGTGCAATTACCTAGTATTTCTTAATGAATGCTGCTGGGTATACAATGATGGCCAAGGAATAATACAAAAGTGCTGCGAGTCACTACATGAAGGTGCCAGGCATGAAGTACTGGGAGATAGTACCTGGGGTTGAATGCTGGGCCCTCTTTACTAAAGTGTGCACTTGTTATATATACAGTAGTAATAATGCATCAACTAGTTTATACCTGTGTACTGTACACTGTAAAGAGGTGAAGATCCCTGCAGTCCCACTAGAAGTATACTGTACATATAACGTGCACACAATGAGAAAATGTGAAGATGGTGGCCATTGTGGTGCTAGTATTCATTGCAGGCACTTGCCTAGTGTCCACTGCTCTTATACCTTGCGTACACTCTCCTATCCTTTCTCACTTTATTCTTGTATCCAGTTTCTCTCATCATTTATCATTCAATTTTTATAAGTCTTCCATTCTTCTTGAAGTTGTTATAACTAAATACTCTGTTTAAATTTGTGGCTTGAATTCTGAATGATTAATAAGTTACAAAAGTGCAATGTACAGTATAGTACATGCCTTGGTCACCAATTGGCTGCATTGCCTACTTGAAGCCCCCAAATATGTATTTTAGACATGTTGGCATTGTTTTAATTGCTGCATTTATTAAATTTCTTTATAAAGGTAATAGAGGGATACTTTTTAATGTTAAGTTGCAGTCCATACATACACGTACGTTACCACTTACCCATTCCCACTTTCATAGTGGATTAACCTCAGCCTGGAGAAAATGGAATATAACAACAGATTATAGATATTAAATAAACTATTTAAATTGTTACTTGTCCATTCATTATACTGTAACGTCCACAATATATTGCATCACAGATAAGCATAACATACCTAAAGCAATTTATCTCGGCAGTGTGCCACAGCTTCTCAAGATAGCTATACAGTGCTCTTTGAGAACCGTCATATATAAATTCATTCAATCCCTTATAAATGTTTCTATTTAACTTTGTTCCATTCATCTGATGTGGTTCCTGGAACACCATCACCACCTCTTCCCTTCTCAATTTGGTTTCCGCAAGTGCCGCAGCACAACAGATGTCCTGGTGAACTTGGAGGTCTATATTCGTACTGCTTTTGCTGCGAAGCTCCTTCTCAGGATGCTGCTTCCCGCTTGGCTGCCTTATCCTGCCTTGGCGAGACCCCCGTTCGGTCTCGAAGAACGTTCAGTTGAATGCCAGTGTTGGCACTATTTTGCTCCGCCCCCATGTTGCGACCGGTGTTCGGGACCTACGCGACTGCCACGACGATATTCAACATATCCTCGCTGCCCAGGGCCATTCTATTCTCCAGGTGGACACGTTTACTCGTCCCCCTCGTGGTAGTCGCCGTCAACCCCTCCGGGTTGTGAAGATTACCTTTGATGGTAGGACCCTTCCACCCTCGGTCATTCTTGCTGGTGCCAGGTGCTCTGTCCAGAGTACGTTCCTTCTCCTCGGCTCTGCAACAAGTGCTGGAGGTTTGGGCATGGTGCCCTCCGCTGCTCCGGGACTGTCTCTCTCTGTCCTTTGTGTGGTGGCGAAGGTCACTCTAAGTCGGAGTGCGCTTCTCCCCAGGCTCGTTGCCTCAACTGCGGTGAGGCCCATCCTACCTTCTCCCGTGCGTGTGTCCATTACAAGCTTGAGCAGCAGCCGTCCTCAACTTGAAGCACCGGGAGCGTTTATCTTTTCCTGAGGCGAGGCGCCAGGTTCGCCGGCTCCCGCCTTATGCTAATATCTCTTATGCTCGCGTGTTGCGCTCTTCCTCTCCTCGTCCTTCCCGCCTTCCTCAGACTCACAACCGTTTCCAGGCCTTGGACCCTGATGCGCCCACTGCCCCCTCCTCTGTCCCTTTGGGTTCTCTCCCGAAGGATCCTCCTCCTGGTCCTCTGTCTGGGGTTCCCCTTCCTTCTACCCGGTCTGTCGTGTCTTCTGTGTCTCCTTCCTCGTCCCCTCCGATCCTCCTTCCCATCCTCTTCCTCCATCTATCGGCTCTCCCGCCGCCTGTCGTGCGGGCGGATGTCCATCGCTCTCCTAACGGCCGTCGTGTGTGCTCTCGTTCGGCTTCTCCTGTTGAGACACTGGAATCCGTTGCCCGTACGTAGTTGCTGGACACCGGTCTCTTTAAGTCAGAAGCGTAAGCCTGGCTCCTCTCCTTCCTCTTCCCCGGCGGGTAAGAAGGCTTCGCTTTCTTCCTCAGCTCCTCCTTCTGGCTCTGTGTTGCTCCTTCCACTCCCGTTTCAGTGCTTGCGCCCCCTGTTCCCGCTATGGAGGTTTCTTTGGCCCTGCTTCCCTTTCGGTTGCTGCTCTTGCTGGGGTGCGCTCCTCTCTTTCTACTCCCCCTCTTCCTGCTGCTGTCCTTGACTGCTCCTCTCCGTTGTCTCCTCCTCCTCCTCCTCCTCCTCCTCCGGACCCTGCCCGCCCACCTCTGATCTGTTCTCCCGTTTCCTTCCCTCCGTCTTTGCGCAGTTTACCCATGCCCCCTAATCCTGACTTTGCTGACCCTGATCCCGACCCTGATATTCTTTAACGTGCTCTGTTGGTCTTTCGCCTTTGTTTCTTCCTTGTTCTCTGTTTTTGTCCTTTCTCTTCTCATCGTTGTCCATTCTTCAATGGAACGTTCGAGGTTATTACGCCAATTTCCTCGAACTCCAACTTCTGGTTTCGCGGTTTTCGCCCCTTTGTGTCTGTCTCCAGGAGCCGATGCTTGGTGCTCGTCCTGGTCGTTTTCGTGGCTATTCCTTTCTCTCCCCCCCCCCCAGCCATTGCTGGGGGCTTCTAATTCTTCTGCTCTCTTGATTCGGGCTGATGTTCCCTTTGTTCCTTTACTTTTCCTTCGCCTCTCCATGTGTTCTGCTGCTCGTATCTTTGTGGGGAAATGGTACACAGTTTGTTCCATTTATCTCCCCCGAGTGTCCCGCTCTCTCTTCTGATTTGAAACACCTCCTAGACTCCTTGCCGGAGCCTGTGCTCCTGCTGGGTGACTTCAATTGTCGTCATTCTCTTTTGGTTGACGTTCTGACGAATACCCGGGGTCGCCTCCTTGAGCCGTTTCTCCTCTCTTCTTCCCTGTCTCTTCTGAATTCTGGTGAGCCCACTCATTTGGACTCTCGAACTCGTACCCTTTCTTGTCTTGATCTTTCTCTCACCTCCGTTGTTGCCGTCCTTTTTGACCTGGAAAAGGCTTACGACACCACTTGGCGGTATCATATTCTATCTCAACTTCATTCTTTTGGCCTTCGTGGTCGTCTACCTCTCTCTTTCTCCACAGCTTCCTCTCTCGTCGTTCCTTTCGGGTGCACCTTGGTACCGCTCTCTGCCTCTTTTCAGCAATACGAAGGTGTGCCCCAGGGTAGTGTTCTGAGCACTACTCTTTTTCTGGTTGCCCTCAATGGTCTTTCCTCTCTTCCTTAAGGTGTCTTCTCCGCTCTCTATGTCGATGATCTTACCCTTTGCTGTCAGGGTGATGATTCGCCTCTCCTTCAGCGCCGGCTTCAACTTGCAATTGATGCCGTGTCGTCTTGGGCCACCGATCATGGCTTCAAGTTCTCTACTTCTAAGACTTGTGCCATGACTTTTACGCGGAAACGGGTCGTTCTTCGTCCCTCTTTGTCACTTTATGGTCATCCCCTTGAGTACAAAGATTCCGCGAAGCTTTTGGGGTTATTCCTTGACACTCGTTTGTCTTGGTCTCCCCATATCTCTTACCTCCGTGTTGAGTGCTCTAAGGCCCTTACCCTCCTTCGGGTCTTGTCCCATACTTCTTGGGGGGGCAGATAGGCGCACTCTCCTTGCTTTACATTCCTGTCTCGTCCTGTCTAAGCTCGATTATGGTTGTCCTGCTTGCTCGTCTGCTTCTCCTTCTACTCTTCGCAGTCTTGATGCTTTGCACCATACTGGGTTGCGCTTCAGTTCTGGTGCCTTTCGTTCGACTCCCGTCCTTAGCTTGTATGTTGACACTGACTTCCTGTCTCTCCAAGACTGCCGTGATCGCTACTGTCTGCGCTATCTTGCGCGGTCCTTACAACATCCTTCCTCTCGCCTCTGTCGTGCTTTAACTTTTACCCTTCCTGCGGTTCCTGTTCCTCTTCACCACCTCCCTCTTTCTGTCCGGTTATCTCGCCTACAGGACTCTCTTTCCGTTTGTATTTCTAATGTTTCTCCTCGTGTTGTTCCTTCTTTGCCCCCGTGGAGAGTCCCACTTCCGCGGTTTTGTACATCCTTGACCCGTATCACTAGAGCTTTTACCCCTCCTACAGTTCTAAAACGCCTTTTCCTTGAGCACTTTTCTTCTCATTCCCGTTCCGTTTCTGTCTTCACCGATGGGTCCAAGTCTGCGGACGGTGTTGGCTACTCAGTTGTTTTTCCTGATCGCACTTGTGTCGCTTACCTCCGGAGACTAGCATCTTTACAGTGGAGCTTTATGCTATTCTCTCTGCTCTTCGTCTCCTGCTTTCTCGTTGTCAGTCTTCCTTTGTAGTTGTTGTTGACTCTCGTAGTGCCCTCATGGCTCTCGGGTCCTTTAATCCGGTTCATCCAGTAGTTGTCGAGATCCAGCATTGGCTGTTTCTTGTTCACAGTAAATTTAAGTCGGTTGAGTTTTGTTGGGTTCCCAGCCATATTGGTGTGTCTTTAAATGAGCGTGTGGATGCTGCCGCCAAGGAAGCTGTCCGCTCTTGTCCCATCTCTCGTAAAGGTATTCCGTATTCTGACTTTTACCCGGTTATCCATTCCTCCGTCCTTACCCGTTGGCAGGCTTCTTGGTTGTCTGTTACTGGTAACAAACTACGTGCTCTTAAATGTTGTGTTTCCTCGTGGCCGTTCTCCTTCCACCGTAACCGGCGGTGGGAAACAGCTCTGGCGAGGTTGCGTATTGGCCATACTCGCTTAACCCATGGTCACTTGATGGAGCGCCGCCCTGCTCCTTATTGTCCTAGTTG